AATTTTATAAAATTCCAACAAATAATTAAAAAATATATTATAATTGTCTTAAACAGTTTCAAGCAGAAATAAAAAGAATTTATATATATTTTTGGCGAATTTCTAAAACTTTCAAAATATATGAAGTAAAAATATGGATGAATATTTTCATGAATTTTTTAAATTATAAAATTGGTTTTAATTTTTAATCGTAGTGGGCTGGCCTGTTTATCAATTGGACCAATTTGTTTGTAGATCCCCTTTCAAACTCCCACTTAAAGTACACGCATCAAGATTATGAAATAAAAAATCTAAATAAATAAAATAAAGTAAATTAAGCAACAGATCTGCTTCGCCTTGTTTTTCATAAACATTTAACTTATGTACAATTAATTTGTAAGAAGTTTTTACATAAATCAAATATTTAATGTAATTTTTTTGTAGCACAGCAAATGATAAAAAACAAAAACAATCGCATCTATTCATAATATCATAAACATCTATTTGTAGCTTAAATGTTTTTATTATGACCATTTGTTGCTCATTGTTAAAAAGAAACTGAAGTTGAAGAAAAAAACTAAATGAAAGCAAGAGTGTATTTATGTTTTGCGTTGCTTTTGAGAAAAATATATAAAAAAAAAAGATTAACAAATAAAATAGAATGATAAATCAAGGACTACTGATACGATTTTTAGGCGTCGTTTTTTCTCCCGTATAACTTACGTAAACAATAGATATTTTTGCATATTATATAAACACTTTAAACGATATTTCTATATATATATATATGTATGTAATATGTAAGTGAAACTCTGAAATGAATGCGAAATTTTTTCAAGTGCAAATCAACTTCTATATATCACGTAAATGTGCTACACAGTGACAGAAAATAAAATAAAAGGGTAGAAAAGTGAATGTCGCAGAGCTGAGTTGAGATATGATCGCAAAAATTTCAATAAAAATAAAACTTAAATAAAATTACAATTAAATTCCTTTATTTACTTAGCAAGCGAGTAAAATCAAACAGCTTTTGTCCGGCATAGGAATACAGTCTCTCAGAAGCTCACAGAAACTCAACGGTTTCAAAGCTTAACGCTAGAGGGCACTCCGCATGGATTGCCATAAAGCATAGAACGGGCTCTGTCGAAAAAAAAAAAAAAAATAATAAACAATACGCATGTATGACCTTCGTACAAGGTGACTGGGACACAGTGCGCGCGCGACCAACTAGAGAGCACAGATGAGCGCGAAAAAGAGAGCGCGTTACATTGGAAGAGCTAAGCAAAATGCAATCAAAGCATTGCAAGCAATGCCTCTAACATTAACATAAATTTTGCCAATGCCAATTGGCGAATTCCGTTGAGTATTTAACGCGCTGATAAGACAAAAAACGCTGAGTGTGCCTCAAGCAGAGTTGTTTACAAGAGAGCAGTTTAACGGAAGAGAGAAAGCTGCTTTGTTCGAAAACACAAGAGAGTAAAGTAAGTAATGCTGGCAGTGATATACCCTGCATTAATGAGATGGCGTGGAAATATAAGGAATTGGTGTTAGCAAAAATATAATCTTTTAGTGTTAGGCTTGTAAAGAGTTGATATATAAGTACAACCTGTATATTATTTAATTTAGGTTATTTTGGTCAAACAAGCAGATGTATGACGTTGGCTGACAAATGAAGTAATATACCTCACAGCTGAATGACTGTTGGGCATTAAAAGCTCTCGTGACTAATAACGCATACGAGAAGTGCACGCCGTCTGAGAAGTGCTCCGGATTTTGCAGCGAACGGTCGTATATACTTGTGCGCGCAACGTTCATCGTCTTCGCTGGCTCGCGCATTAAAATTCGTATTATAGTTTTCCTACGCACCCACGCAGGCAGCAAGAGCAGCGACAGAGGCAGCAGCAACAGCAGCGACAGCGGCAGAGGCAGAGCAAGTGACAGGCAGATAGAAAGAAAAAAATAACAACTACCTCAGTTAGCAGCAGAGAGTCGAAGGCAAAATGTCGAAGCCACAATCGGACGCGGATCGCAGGAAGCAAATATCGGTGCGCGGCATCGCTGAGGTGGGCAACGTAACCGAGGTGAAGAAGAACTTCAATCGCCACTTGCATTACACCCTGGTCAAGGATCGCAATGTCGCCACGCTGCGCGATTACTACTTTGCTCTGGCCAACACCGTCAAGGACAACATGGTCGGCCGCTGGATACGCACACAGCAGCACTACTACGAGAAGGATCCCAAGGTTAGTTGACAACCCTCTCTGTCTGGATTATTGATTTTATTTAGTGCGTACTCGAATTTTCCAAATGCCACCGAAAAATAAACCTAACCCAACTTTGACTTCGAAAAGGAGGCCAATGTTAGCCTTTGGGTTTCTTAATTTTTTCGGGTCATTTTTTTTTTCGGTTTGCTATTACGACATGCATTTTGTGCTCTGCGCTTTCGGCCCATGTTCTTAATTATGTCTCACACTCTCTGCATTTAGCGAAAAATTTGTTTTTGTTGGCGCTTTTATTTTCTGTTAATTTTTATTAACTTCTCTTTCCTTTTTATCTTCATTTTTGTTTTCATCGCTCGCTCGCGCTGCCCTCGCTGCAGCGCAGCACCTTCAATTGCTATGCACTTTCCTCCTGTTCTCTCCTCCCACTTTTTATTTCTTTTCGCCTAATTGCTGTAAATTTTTGGTCGCTGAAGTGCAGTGGGATCAATGCCAAAAACGTGTGAATGCCAGGCCAGAGCGCTTGAGCTACTTTCACTGCGGCGAATTTGGCATGGGGTGGCGAATTCATGCACATATGTAGATTTCTGCTAGCGTGTGTGCATGTGTGTGTGCAGGTGGTGTCTTAGTCTCAAAAAGCCGGTGTCCTACTCCATGAGCAGCTGACAAAGAATCACAAAAAGAAAATTATAAATAGCTTATTGTTGCCATCAGCAGCTGTCGCTGTCGCACACTAGCTTAGATAATTTTAAAGAGAGTATGAGAGAGAGAGAGAGCGAGAGAACGGGTCAGCTCAAATAAGAGCTTGTAAAATATGAATTTAAAATAAGTAATTTAGATACTCTGCTTTTACTTAATTGGCATATGGGGTATAACAAAATATGGAAATGTATGAAAACTACACAAACAAGATTTTTGGAAAAACTTTTTATATGTGAAAAATATTTTAGACGTTTAATAAGTCATGCTTGAATGTTTTTCAATTTTCAAAATAATTTAGAGTAATTAGAGAGTATATTGATAATTCTCTTAATTTTCTTAGGATCCGGGGGGGGCAACCTAAACATACAGGGAGGATTGCATTATTGAATTATCGATTTAATTTTCCTTGAAATGCTAATCTTATCTGAATCTTGTATAAAACTTCAATGGGGTTTACTCTTTACTAATTTCATATAAAAACAATATTTTATAATTCACTATTTAATTACGAATTCGCTGTATATTATTTATTATTTAAATTGGTAAGCAAACACATGATATTTCTCTAATCTTGCTCATCTATTGCTTTACATCCGACTTTAACAATTTATAGGGTATTTGTATGCACTCTTAACATTTATAGTTAGTTATCTTGGTTATCGATCAGCTGAGCAAGTCATAAATCGGGTAATTAAATGTTGAAAGCAACTTTTCATATGCTCCAGTCAAAGTTGAAGCAAGGCATATCCAACAGATACACACAGAGCCACACACACACACACACACACACTTACACACGCATTCGCAAACACGTGCGAAAGTCGTGCGAATTTATTTGGCATAAACTTTTGTCCTTGCCTGAAAGTCAGTGGCAGA